GCTTGACCCTATCAGTACCTATTAGAGCCGCCTTTGCCTCTATTAAATTGCTCTCCGATCGTTTCGGTGCCAAGGCCTCCCGACTTTGCGATCAATTCAGCAGTCGCTGAGATAGTTCTGTCCTCTTTTCATGCTGCTGCGTTTGTCGAGGGGTTTGTAACCCCATTTTGCTAGTGTGCATTCCTGATTATCATATGCGGAATATATCCGACTAAAGCCTATAGATCTGCGTTCTAAATCACATAAATTTTTGTCAAACTCACTTTAGCTGAGGTGGTTGCATCCAGAATCTTCACAGCTATGAGAGAACATCAATTTTAAAGGAGGAATAGAAGGGGAAATAGAGGTGAAGAATAAAAGAAATTGAGAAAAGTTTTCTAGATTTATGATGACTTAATCTGTTTGTCTATAGAAAGCTTGTTTATGGAAATCGAAAGGCCTCTAGGGTTTAAAAGTTCCCCTTTCTTATAAAAGATTACGACCCCTTTGCCTATTGTAGATCACCTACGCTATTTGAAGATCTCAATGGTAATTCCGCCTTGGAACTGCATTCCATAATTCAATTGCTCACCAAATCGTATGGCAAGGTCTGTACATTTACTCTCACGCTGTAAGGGATTTGTGATGCCCTAAATGTAAGGTGTTTAGAGCATTGTGCCGTTGATGTTTTGTATTTATCGAGGGAATGACAAAACCATGGGTAGAGGAATTAGGCACATTAGAGGTGCCTGTAACGCAAAGATTTGGAACTGTTCCTATTTACCTACTTCACATTTTTACAAATTTGCAAATTTTAATATGCAAAGCATGCTTTTTTCTTGTAATTTTTTGCTCAAACACCCATCTCTACCCATTATAGGATTTGTGCTCACACGAAGCTAAGTTATGCTCCTAGTCTACAGAAAACCACTCATAGGTCGCTATCAAACACTATGAATTAACTCAAATAAAAAATCAAAACATCGCAACATATTTATTTATCTATATACCCAATCGATCAGTCCACTAGCCATCAGGCTTGCGTGTGCATGTGGAGCCCTTCATTGCGCAATCATGCAGGCTGGCAATAAGAGCACGATTTCTGACACGGATAGGTGTGGAGCCGAGAGTAGGTAGCAGAGGAAGAGGAGTACTCTGCATTTTACCCAGTTATATACCTACCTGATGTGGAAAAGGAATGGCTACTGTCCTAACGATGCATCGCACATTAGTAGATATGCACGATAAGCAAGTAGGTGAATCAGTGGTATGAATCGTGATAGTCATGACACACCTGCTCATCTCCCTGTCCTTATCCATCGAGACATCTACCATCTGCTCCTTATGTGTCGAAGTTAATGAAATGAGGAGGCAGAGTAATGTCCTTCATCCCTTTGACCATAGTTTAGTTGCCATTGGCATTATGGAGTGCTGTACCCCTAAGTTTCTATTGTTTGTCTGAACTGGGAGTTTCGATGATGTAAACAGTGGTCTGGATTGGGTGTCGCAAGCATTTTTGTTGTGGTTTTAAGGCCAATGATGATTAAGCAAGAGTTTTGGTGACAACGACACCTAATTTGCACCCCTGATAAACAGTGAAGCCTATATGTGTCACGTCGACCCTAAGTCATGACAGTGATTGCCTTTCCGGCTTACAGCGCACGTCTGCATATGTGCCGCATTTCTATTGCACTGAACCGTCCTCTTCTTTTATCAGATGGGCAGCTTGCTTGTTTCACATAGAATCATCAACTATTGGCGAGAAAGTGTCCACTTTTTATATGACTACTAACTCATGTCGTTTAACTGGTCAGACACTAATGTGGAGTCAGTGGGCTGGACGTGTAAAAAAACAAACCAACAATAAAGGTGAGTTGAGACCACATAACAGGCGTGTAGAAGTGCATGTTGTCTGTCGAGTTGCATGGGCATGTCGATATGCTGTGAATAGGAATTAGACGGAAGAAGGTGGAAAAGAGGTGTTGGGGGAAAAGAAAGGCATTTGAGTAAACAGGCATGGTAGGTTAGTGTATTTTTGAACAGAAAGCAAAAATGAGTAGCAAAGGGAGGGTTAGAGTAAGATGGAGGATAGAAGGAGTGTTTTTAATCGTAAGGCAGGCACATAAGAGAAAAGAAAACGCCTAAATCAGCCTCGCTAATAGAAAAAATGGTAGGATATATTAGGATTTACCAAGTTATTTGCCCTCCTAAAAGGGCTAAAATAGGCTAAGATTAATTAATAATAAGAACTGATGAAAAACAAGGAGTAGTGCTGACAGTACTTTGACGCCAGCATATAGGATCGTGCAATAAAGGACGCCTTACGCACCTACGGGTCTGGTGGCTGGTAATGAAATTGGTGCATACCTGATTTTCAATTTTACAATTCATCATAGTTACAAAAAATCAGTAATTTGCTTAAACACTTTTCTCGCAGTTTTGCTTAAATACTCATCTACTAATGTTTTATAGAAAGGTGTTCATGGTTTATCCCTCCTTATTGGCTCGCAAGAAGCGGAGGTATGTAATTGGTCTATAGATAACCACTCTAACGTTACGATCAAATACTATAAATATGCGTACATAATAAATCAAACCATCACGACATTGTTAACCGCCTTGAAACTAAATCCGTCGGTTGACTAGCCATTGCTGTCAAAAGGTACACCTTCACACGCAGGCAGATGCGAAGCTAAGTGCAGGTAGCAAACGACGAGGAGAACTCCATGATGCACCTATTTTATGTGAAAACAAATAGCTGGCACGCATGCGTAGATATGAACAATATGCCAACGAGACAAAGAATGTGATAGCTTGGAATAGTCGTGACATCCACTCACCTTTGCCTTTATCCATCGATGCATCTGCCTTCTGCTGTCCGCAGTGCTCCTTTCGCATCAAAGGTGGCAAGGTGAAGAGCCAGAGTAATCTCGTTCATCCCTTTGCTCAATTAGTATTTATCTGAACTGGGTGCCTTGGTGACATGTACAATGGCCCGGATCGGTTGTTGCAAGAATTTTATTCGTGGCTGTGAAGCCACTGCTAACACTTACACTTACTCTGCGCGCTGCACAAATAGAATTTTTAGGCAGCAGAATTAGCGACATCGTGTCCTTTCCTTCAGCAACATTCATTAAGCATAACATGTACGCTGGAGTTTAGGTCATCTCATGGTCCAGATCACTGGCCAATTTCACAAATCTTCGCTACATGGGGTCGAACCTGCCTCTCCTCTTCCCAATGTTCCCAGTACATTGTCAATAAGATAAGGGAGATTTGTGGCTGCAAGGCTATCCGAGCCAATAATAATACCATTTTGAAACAGTTTTAGCCTCTTTTTTTCTCTTTAGCTATGCAGGAATTTTCGATGAATGGAATAGGAAGGAAGCAAAGGGGGTGGTTTTGGGATTATTCGATGTAGAGATTTGCACTTTCTTCTCAACATACCAAAGTGATAATTAGTCAATTATCCCTTTTGCATTCATGAAAATTTTTGCTAATGCGTTTGTAACGTTTGCATCTACTCACCCCTCCGGAGGCTGACAAACAATGAAAGTAAGAGAGCATATAATAGAGAGATATGGAGACTAAAAGAGGTATAAAAGTTTACTGAAGGAGGCTTTAAATTTACTTTCCTTTAGATTAGTTAGTCATCTTTTAAACAAT